TTAATCACAAAAATTGTAAATTAAAGTCTGTAGTACTTTCCTTTACTGAGCAAAAAAGAAACAATGAAAAGGAGAGGCAACCAGTGACTAAGATGTAGTTTTGCTCAGTTGTGTGGGAATCCTGTCAGTCAAAGACCAAGCATCTTCCACATGGCTCTTCCATTAGCTCACCATTTGATCTTAGACAAACCATTTCATTTTCCCCCCTCTGGACCCTGTTTGCTCTTCTGTAAATTGAGAAGATTAAGTTAGAGGAGTTCCAGCGTTCGGATCCTGTACCGTAGCACATACGTCATTGTCCTTGCAGCACTGTTGTTATAAAATGACCCTTGTCCACTTAAGAAACAAAACAAACGAGCAAAGGAGAAAAAAAAGAGAGAGACGAGCCAAGAAACAGACTGTTAACTACAGAGAACACACTGACGGTTACCAGAGAGGAGGGGTTGGGGGGGATGGGGAAAATAGGTGATGGGGATTAAGAGGGCACTTGTGATGAGCACCGGTAATGCAAATTAAAACTTAAAAAGACGATAATAAAAATTTCAAAACAGAATAAAATGCTTTTGTCCTAAAAGAGACTTGGAGAATAGGATATTATTTTCTTTAGGCAGTTTCTCCGATTTTGAGAGCCAGCTTTTCTTTTTCTCTTGTGTGTTATTGAAATTAGCGTTTGTATGGTGTTTCTTGGTGGTGGTGGTTTGTTTATTTTTGCCTACCTTTATCAGAAGGATTGTCATGCAGTAATTCTCCAGTCCAGGGACTTAATACTTTATCGTTTCACATCAAATTCCCTGCTGGAAGCGGTAAAACCTACTTCATACGTGAATACGTTTTCTTAGTTTTTTTTGTTTGTTTGTTTGTTTGTTTTAAGCTAGCATCAGCGGGTACATTATGTTAGCTACCTTGTTAGATGGTTTTTATCTTCTGTTGCTTCACACCTACACAAGAGATGGATTCTGTGGGTGTCCCCATATTATGCCTTATGTTCTCCCGTTGTACTCAAACCCAGACCCCTAGGTGACACCAGGCTTATGTGCAAGCTTGAGCATCTAGCTGACGTGATGTCTTGGGCACTCGCCTATACTCTGGGCTTCTTGTCTGGGCTTATACTTCTTGGCCACTGACCTCTCCGATTTCTTCTTCAACTCTCTGACTCTTGAGCCCTCGAACACTGAGGCCTCTGCTTGGCACAGTAGCCGAACATTGTCTTCTTGCAGGCTGACCGCATTTCTGATGTGTAGTAGGAACCACAGTCTAGAATATGTGCTTCTTTGTGACCAGCCAGCTTCATTCTCCTGGTTCCTGCTCCTGGTCTTTGGCTGACTCACAGTTTGCAGTTTGCTATTTATAGATAGAGTTGTTGAGACAAGATACACGGGATTTGAAGATACCAGGGACTTAACAACTATAGTTACTGCCTTAGCTTCATTTGTTTGTTTCATTTGTTGTTGGTACCAGTGGGAGGCTCTGGATAGGCTGGCTGGAACTAAAAATCATTGGACTCTAGGGGCGCAAATTTAAAAATCATTTGACTCAGAGGAACAAGTGTCCATGCTTGTTCTTCACCTAGGCTGTCTCTGCCCTTTCAGAATATGGCAGCCAACTCAGCCCCTCTTGTCAGACTTGCAGCTACATACATCCCCTAGGTAGTCCTCTACCATAGGAGCCCCAAGTTAAAATCAAACCACTCTGAGTTGGACGTAGCAACAGACCTGTGAGTCCTTGATGCATGTTTCAGCCTTTTCATTGAGTCGTAAAAGTGTTAAAACTGTGACACTGGAAGGCACCTTAAAGGCCCCCCTCATTTTACGGAGGAACAAACCAAAGCCAGGAACAGTTAAGTGTGTTGCTCAGAGTCATAACTAGTAAATGACACAGAGAAATTTTAAAACCTGGTCTTTTGACTCCAAACCAAATTATTTTTTTCCCCACAAACCAAAGATAGAAGGTGTCAGTAAATTGGGGCGCCTGGGTGGCTCAGTCGGTTAAGCGCCGACTTCAGCTCAGGTCATGATCTCATGGTTCGTGAGTTTGAGCCCTGCGTCGGGCTCTGTGCTGACAGCTCGGGGCCTGGAGCCTGCTTCGGATTCTGTGTCTCCCTCTCTCTGCACTCCTTCCCCACTTGTGCTCTTTCTCTGTGTCTCAAAAATAAATAAATAAACATTAAAAAAAATTTTTTTAAAGTGTCAATAAATTGAGGCTGTGTGTCTATGTATTAGGGGTGGGGAGTGACTAGTTTCTCAGTGGATGGGGTTGTTGAGGCATACCTAATTTCTAAGGCATTTTCTAAGATTTGCATCTGGCATGTTTGGACTGCATTACAACAGCCTCCTGCAGGCGTTCATAATTTTCATCCTATATTATGCATATATAATTGTATTATTCACTTATAATGTATGTATAAAAAGATAAGAAAGCCAGAATTCAGCTATATTTTATCACTAAGCCTTTCCGTACCCAAGACTCTCCATCTTTCTTTTTCCCTAATTAGTAGAATCATGACCTTTGTGGTAGAGTAAGGTGACACTGGTTCCTTGCCAAGGAACCTTTGTTGGCTTTGACATGTATTGCTATTAAACTACTTAAGCTCAAGAGGAAGGAGAGGCTCAGTTTATGTTCAGGACAAAGGTTAAATGGAAAAGCACATTTTTTGAGGCTTTCAACCCTGCCACTCTTGACCATCAACATAGCCCAGTGTTACGTACTGAAGTTAATGCAGAAAGCGTATACAGTTGGCTTCTGCACTATGGTTGGGGACTTGAGAGAAGTGATGTGAGTAATGTGAATAGTAGAGAAAGGGTACTTGGAGACAGAGGCTCCAGTTAAGGAAACTTTCCTGGACTGGGCTTTGGTAATCTCATCACATTTTATAGATCAAAGAGAGCAATCTTAACTTGAACTTTTTTCTTTTTTTTTTTTTTTTAAATTCAGGTTAGTTAGGGGCACCTGGGTGGCTCAGTTGGTTAAGTGTCCGACACCGGCTCAGGTCACGATCTCCCAGTTTATGGGTTCGAGCCCCCTCTTGAGCTCTGTGCCGACAGCAAGGGAGCCTGGAGCCTGCTTCAAGTTCTGTGTCTCCCTGTCTCTCTGCCCCTTCCCCGCTTACTCTCTCTCTCTCTCAAAAATAAAATAAAATAAATAAAATAAAATATAAAATAAAATAATAAAACAGGGGCGCCTGGGTGGCTCAGTCGGTTAAGCGGCCAACTTCGGCTCAGGTCATGATCTCACGGTCTGTGAGTTCGAGTCCTGCGTCGGGCTCTGTGCTGACAGCTCAGAGCCTGGAGCCCGTTGCAGATTCTGTGTCTCCCTCTCTCTCTGCCCCTCCCCTGTTCACGCTCTGTCTCTCTCTGTCTCAAAAATAAGTAAACGTTAAAAAAAATTTTTTTAATAAAATAAAACATTAAAATTTTTTTTAATTCAAGTTAGTTAACATACAGTGTGTCTTGGTTTTAGGAGTCGAACCCAGTGATTCATCTCTTACATGTGACACCCAGTGCCCATGCCAACATGTGCCCTCCCTAATGCCCATCACCCATTTAACCCATCCCCCCCACCCACAGCCCCTCCAGCAGCTCTCAGTTTGTTCTTCATATTTAAGAATCCCTTATGATTTGCCTCCCTCTGCCCTTTTTTCTAAAAGAATTATTAAAAAATTGTAGCCAGATCAGTGTAGTTGATAGCAGATGGCTTTAAAACAATCCAGCCTGAATTTTCTTCATCTTGGAAAAAGGCATCTGGTGTATTCCTCCTTGATAGAATATTTTGGAGTATCCTATGTTAGCCCATAATAGTGACTTACAGGTGAAGCAACAAAACTCAGCTTAATTTAAGGTAGAATAAGGCCTGTCTTCTCAGTGTAACTTTTTTTCCCCAAGAATTTTCTTTTCTGGATATTTCAGTCCTGAATGTACAGTTAACAAGCTCAGAGGCCAGCACAGCAAAGGACTGTGCTGGATTAAACAGGGGCAGGGGGCTGTGTCACAGATTGCCAGAGTCCCTGTGTTCCAGAGGTCAGTGTGTTCACATGGCAACTAAGCAATCAGCTGGCTAGAAAGAGCAGGGCTGGTGCGGGGGGGGGGACCCGGCTTGTCCAGGGAACTGGTGGGGAGCAGGGTCAGGAGTAAAAGTGCAAGGGGTATATTGTCACTCAAATGTCTTGTAACTAGAATACATGTCTCCAAAGCCTTGATTGCTGAGATCCTGGGAGGAACCCTTTATTAAACTCTTCCATAGTACAGAACTACAGGTGAAGCTCTCACTGAGATTTGGGGACTCCACTGAAATCAGTTTTCAAGTCAATTTGGTGAGTTGCTGTGACAGCAAACCCACTCATGCTCTGAGAAATGAATGCCTCCAATTTTGACACTATAGTAAGGTCTTTTTTTTAAGTGAAATTTTGAGCCATTTTCTGAAATCATTGTTCTTTAAGGGTTATGACTGGGGATTGGCAAATGAGTCTTGACTATTTTTAAAACAGTATTTTGAGTGGGTGAATGAGGAAGTGTGGGCATAGTGTCAGATAAGTGAACGTGTGGGTATACATGTATCTATATCAGTAAAAGCGGGAGTAATTACTATCCTCAGTACCCAGATTGGCACCATACCGTGTTATAAACTGCAGATCTAAACAGAGTGCTAGCTAACAGGAAATTACACTTCCAGTTTAACAGTGGCATTTGTGCAGAAAGTAGCAGGTTCTTTCCTTTCTCTTTCTTTTTCGTTCTTTTCTTTCACACTAGTAAATACATTTAGCACCCAGCTGCTAGAGGAGAGAGGATCTTTGGGGGGAAGACAGGTTTGTCATGAATACTGGGGACTTGGTGTGATGTCACTGCCAGCTCTGTGTGATCGTAGGTGGTGTTAGAGCTCCAGGAGCGAGGGGGGAGAGCAGTCGAAGAGACGATGTCGCTCTCAGACAAGCAGCCTGCCTCTCGCACTGCCGCTTACAGCCAGCTCTGTAAGGGCAAGCCTGCAGAGTGCCGAATGGACCCCCCAAAAGAAATCAACCAAGCTGGATTTGAGTGGCAGAGGACAGAGGGCAAACTGAATGAAATCGGACTGAACGTCAGCATGGACGGGCAGCTGAAAGACGGGCTTGTGAAGAATGCCAGCTTCCTGGAGCAGAAAAAGCTCTGCTTCTTTGAGGGGAAGCTAGACAAAGAGCTCAGCATTGAGGTGCAGGACGAGGAGTGTCAGGCAACCTCGGGTCACCTTGAGAGCAGGTATGTGATTTCAGAAACCTGCCATTCCTTGGAGGGAAACTCGGTACACCAGAAGACAGCTGAGTTCCGTGTGGGACCCGGAGAGGGGCCAGATGAGAACAAAGCCTCTACAGTTCAGGGGAAGGTGGCAGGGAAGAATGGGCCAGAGACCAAGAGCCAGCCAGATCTGGATTTCCCTGGGGCTGCTGACATCCCCACCCGGGATGTTGAGCAAGAAACCAGTGTTTGGAACCCCAACTTTCATCCAGTGGCTCAGGGCTTGAGGGAAGCAACTCCGGGAAAGGAGAATGGCATCACTGCTGGCTGCCGGGTGCCTGGGGTGGTGAATGATCACTCTGGGCTGCTCGAATGTAAGCCCTCACTATCTGAGGCTATAGCGCGCCCAGCCCCCACTATTGAGCATTCACCCACTGCCATTCCACCGATCACTATGGTGGAGTTCACCCAGGAATACGTAAATGACAGCTCTCATGACAGAGACCACGAGAAGGAGCTGGAGAAATTGAATTCTCCCGAAGAGGGGGCTTTGCTCAACCAAGTACCCCAGCAGAAAAAAGCAATGCGCCGGGCCCTGTCTGAATGTTCTCACCTCTCGGTTCCCCCAGCTGTCAACCTTGCAGAGAAATATCCTGAACTCCCTGCCCGAGAAGAGCTTTCTTCTGGCCTGCTGCCTCTTACCAGCAGCCCAATGCCAAGTCCTACGCCCAGGAAACTGGGGGCTCCTGCCATAAAGCGCTCCATGACGGTGGCTGAGGAACAGACAGCTAGCTACAAATTGATCCCTGGGGAGTTGCCCATCCCATCTACTGAAGAGGTACCTCCTTTCATCTGTGAGGAACCTGTGGCCAAGAAGAGAGAAGAACTGACCCCCGTCAGCAACAGCAGCGGCAGCAGCTCTGGGAAGAAGGAACTGGGCACCGCTGGATTGCATCTCCATGGTAAGCTGGAGCAGATTCCTGAAGTAAGCAGCAAGGAAAAAGGACATGAAGATGTTAGTGAAACCAGAACGGATTCATGCTCCCCAGTCTGCCAAGGAGGTGAGAAACAGCCAGGACAGACGGCTCTGGCAGGGAAGAAAGAAATTGAGGTCACTGCAACCCAGAGCACTCCAGCGTTCCTGTGTGAAGAGACCCCACGTGATGGTATGTTTCTAAATTTTGCCTCCATGGGGAACAAGCAGACAGCAAGGAGGGAACCAAAGTGACAGATTACCGGCAGGAGCGTTAGGCGCCTTTATTACCGCTGGAGTCTGTGTGCCGGGGAAAGCAGAATTCTTTGCATTGGAAGGTTGCCGGGAGTGAGGCGAGAAAGTAGACAAAGTGAATCCAGCTAGGTCAGCCTGAATGTCTGCTGGCATGATGGATAGTGGGGACTGAGGACGTGGGCTGATGGGGTCAGAGGGTGGTGGACATAAGAAATAGACCCCTTGCTTGACCTCATGTCACCCTACCCACCCCATCCCCCATCCTGCCACCCCCTCAGCTCCCTGTTGGCTTGAACCAGATGATTCCTGAGCCCCAAATCATCCAATCACAACTGATTGATTTCCTTGCTTGAAAATCCGCCACTGTGTGGACTCACAATGGGCGTATCAGCACTAAACCTCCTCTCGTTAAGTAGCACAGCCTGGGTGCAAGCTCTGTTTTCCATTTCGCTTGTGAGAACATTTTACTTTTGTTCAAGTGGAAAAAGAGCCTTTTAAAGCTGGCTATTTAATATTCTCTTCCTGTTCTTCATGTTTGACCCAGTCTTGCTTCTAGTCTTCTCTTTCTGCATGCAGGTGGGGAGAATTTGTGGGGAGAAGGGAAAGGAGAGAGAAGGAGAGACTTGCACTTAATAAACCGCTAAATGTCACAGGCTTTGTGGCTGCCTCCTGTGTCTTTCTTCCTGGCCCTCCTCTTCCCCACCCCCCAGCCCCCCATGGAGCTTATTGTTGGTGGTCTACAAAAGCTGGTTTTCCTCCCAGTCCAGTTTGAGCACAAAGGACTCTGATTCACAAGCTGGTTCATGGGGATTTAAACCATGTGTTTTGTTTGTAAAAAATCGCCTCTTCTCCTAATATTTATTCCTCTCGGTACGTTTTCATGAAGTTTTTTTTACTCATTTTCAAGTATTTTCTCGGGGAAGGGTAAGTGGAAAAGCCCTAGAAGACCAACGGGGTTTTTTTGGGTTTTGGGGGGGGGGGGTTGCCTTTTTTTTTTTTAACGGAGGTGGACAAAGAAGCTTCCTATAAGCTTCCTATTTCCTCTGTGATGTATGTCTCCAGGATGACAAGCACGCAGATACTCTGTGCCGTTGCTCACTTCTAGCTGTGGCAGAACTGTAAGCCCCTTGTGAATAGGGTTCTGTCGTCTTCCTGTTGATGGGCTGGTTCCCGGTTTGGTGCCCTATACCTTCTAGGTGGTAATGAGTGCAGATTTTTGTTTATTTCAAAGCAAGTTTATCCTAGTTCACACTAACAGAAGTTCATGGTGGCAGGAAAAAATTTCAGGTAACCTGCAAACCTCACTAATGTGTGCACCTAATAAAATGTTTAAGTGTCGACTCTGCTAAGCGCTGTGTAGATAAAAACAGATAAAGATTCATGCTTACGATATGTCAGTCACTGTCTAGGCGCTGGATATTGCCCACATTCTCAAGCAAGTTATGATCAAATTGGGGTGGGGGAATGGAGCAGTGAGAGAGTCGTGAATCATGGAAACTACCTGGAGGAGGTGGTTCGGAAGTCCTGGTGCCTAACTTTGCAAGGGAAAGCCTTCCAGGCAAAGGGACTCACGTAAGGGAGCCTAGATAGCTCATTGTTAGGTAAAAGAACAATGACCAGTATTCATAGGGTACTCTTGTAAGGATTATTTAATTTCAAAGAACGGAAACACACTCAGAGGAACTCAAATTTATAAAAAGGTGTTTATTGACAGGGAGTCTCAGGGAATCCAATTGCAGGAAGCGTAGTCGGGCCGCAGCCATTATGTGCCTCTTAGGACATTTGCTTCACCCTAAGCATTGTGTTCCATTCCCTTCCCTGCTGGAAACTGCTTTCTCTGCCATCTCATACATTTTCTTTCCTTGGTGACTCTGGTCCACACAGACACTGGGTTGCCATGGTTTGGGCTTTGTGCCCCACTTTATGCTACCTTACATCCCTTATATCTGATCACCTCATTCACCTGGAGACTTCTTGGGAAAAGAATGTGGGTTGAGCAAACATGTCAAAGCCATCCATACATATGTGGCCGGAAATAATGGGAGAACACCTCTAGAAAATTATTTGGAACCCAAACTTCAAATGCCCCTTAAGATGTTTTAAAAAACTGCTGGCTGCCTATAACAATGAAGTGGCCCAAAGTCAGCTTTGGGATGACTCAGTAGACAGGATGAACTGGAAAACAGAGGATTGAAAGCAGAAATCCTTGTGACAATAATAGCTTGTCTCATGTAGTCATTGCAAGTGAAATACTGATGACATGAATGAGGAAATAGAACAGGTGAAATCAACTTGAAAACTGAATGTGGAAGGTGTGTGTATGTGTGTATGTGTGTGTGTGTGTGTGTGTGTGTGTGTGTGTGAGAGAGAGAGAGAGAGAGAGAGAGAGAGAGAGAGAGAGAGAGAAAGGAGTCGAAGCTAGTGCTATTATACTGAGCCTGGGTTTCCCAGCAGGTAGTAACGCAGATACTGGAAAGATCCAACAGAAGGAAGTAGTTTTGTGGAGCAGTTACAAGTTCTGTTTTGAGCATTATTTTTCAAAACTGTAGGGACATTTGGGTAGTGGTCTCTAGCAATTGGCTGGCATAGACCCCTGAGCCAAAGGTGGAGGGTCATGGTGAGAAGCACCGTCTGGGAGGGAGGTAGCAGTTTCTGCTTCTGTGTACGTCAGGTGTTTTTCACTGGGTGGCAGCGATGTAGGTTGAGGTGTTGCATGCTTATGTCATAGGCAGTGGGAGTTTGTGTAGATGTTTACTGAACAATCCTGGGCCTGCTGAAAAATGTGCGTAGTGATCTGGGGCTAATGGCAACATATCACACATTTGGTAAGATGTTCTTTCAGCTTGCTATAGAAAAAAAGACATTCACCAACCTTGTGTGTTTTTCTTTTCTTTCTTCATATTTTTAAAACTAAGCAAATTCAGTTTTGACTCATAATACATAGAGTTTCAAACATCAAAAAGTACAAACTGCTATAAATTAGAAAATCTCCTACCAAGACAAGACCACTTGATTCACTTTTCCTTGCTTCTTTCCTCTAAGTACAGCTAAATACTCTGAAAAGAATTCAGCAGACAATTACAAAAGGAATCTGAAAGGTGGAAAGGAGAGGACGGACTGGGTAGGGAACTCAGGGCTTAAGGAAGGACAGTGTACGTTGAGACCCCTGGGTTTTCTTTCTAATCTCCCCTGTACCCAGGGCTGGGCCCTGGAGAGTGCCTGCAACCCAGAAGTGCCAACAAGCATAGATGCCTCCCCGCCCCCAAGCCTCCCCCACCAAAAAGAAGAAGAAGAAGAAGAAGAAGAAGAAGAAGAAGAAGAAGAAGAAGAAGAAAGAAAAGAAAGAGAAAAGAAAGGCGAAGAGAAGGGAAAAAAGAAAGAATAAAAAGCCTACTTTCTCTTGCCAAAAGACTAGGAAAGGGAAGCCATATTCCCCTACTCATATCCAGCAGCAGTAGTGGGCTCAGTCCTGCTGAGCAGTGCTCATGAGGGCCCACCTGTCACCTGTTCCACACCTGACAGCAAAATACAATCCATCCACACTGGCAGGAGAATCTATCCCTAGTCCCCCACAGGTGACAGCACCAGTGACACCTATAGGCCTGATGTCTTCTAGCCTTCTACCCAGGAACAGAAGGGGACTTTGGGAGGTTTCCTCCTATACACCCTTCCCTCCAGCAGCAAAAGGCCAGGTGGGCGCCTCCTGCTCCCAGTGGCACCTGCAGAGATCGAACAAGAAGTATGCCAGCACCAGGCAGCCAGAGAACAGGCCAGGAGAAACTCTCTGCATTCTGTGGGTCTGGCATCACTCAACCCTCACCTAGTGAAACCATCTGGCCCAGGGAGGTGGCTTCATCCCTTGCTGGAACTACCAGCCGGGACTGAGTGACATTCTCATGAAGCCAGAAGAACACAGCAGTCCACAGTTGCATTACAAGGGCTCTGGAGACTAAATTGTTATTGAAACTACAGCCAGAACATGCACACTGAATTTAAACAATGATTACCTGATATCATACAAAATTAGGATTGTAAAGCAGCCATTATAAAATTGCTTCAACAAGCAATAATGGATTGTCTTGAAACAATGGAAAAACTAGAAAATCTCAGCAAAGAAATAGAAGTTATTAAAAAGTAGGAGATGGAAATTATGGATAGGAAAAATACAATAATCATATAAAAAAACATGTCTGATGGGCTCAATAGTACACTGGAAATGTCAGAGAATAGAATCAGTGAACTTGAACACAGATCAATAGAATTTAGTCCATCTGAACAAAAGAGAGAAAATAGAAAAAATTACAGCTCCTCAGAGCCTTCTATAACAATAACAAAAGATCTAACATTTGTATCACTGGAATCCCAGGAGAGGAGAAAAAAATGTGAGGCTGAACAATTATTTGAAGAAATAATGACTGAAAGCACCTCAAATTTGTCAAAAGACATAAACCTAAAGATTGGAGAAACTGAATGAACCTCCAAGAGAAAAAACCCAAAGAAATCTACACCAAGACATATTATAATTAAATTCTGCCAACTGAAGACAAAGAAAAAAGATCTTGAAAACAACTGTAGAGAACTAACATATCTGTATTGGGGAATAGCAGTTCAAATGGCGTTGTGATTCTTACCGGAAACCATGAGGGCAGAAGGAAGTAGCACAACGTTTTTCAAGTGTTAAAAGAATAGTCAACTGCAAATTGTATATCTGGCAAAACCATCCTTCAGGAAAAAAGGGAAAGTAATGACATTCTAAGAGGAAAACTAAGAGGATTTTTGCTTGCTGACATCCCTTTAGAGAGTGGCTAAAGGAAGCTTTCCAAAAAAATAAGATATCATAACAGAAGGAGGCTTGGAATTTCAGAAATGAAAAAGTAATTAGAACAATGGAATGAGTAAAAATAGGAGTAAACATAAATAGACTGTCCTCATGAAGTTTAAAAATCTTATTTGATGATCGAAGCAAAAATTGTACCATCTGATGTGGTGCTCGATGTCTGAGAAGGAAATACCTAAGAAATTACATTTAAAAAGCAGGGAGGATAAAAGATCCTAAATAGAAGTAAGTAAAATGGTACACTCAAAAACATTAAAAAATAAAAGTGGAATTTTAAAAAATGTTCAAGTAGCCCACGGGAAGGCAAAAGAAACAGAGGGAACAAATAATAAAAAACAGAGCCGCCCTCTGTGCCCTCCTCATTGACACCATGCTCCAGTTCCTGCTTGGAAATACGTGTGGCCCCCTAGTTGGAATGTATCTGGTCCAGAACCATGACATAGCAAACCTGGTTTAAAAACTTGAAGGAATTGAAAAGGACTTGGATACAAGAAGAAGCCCCCTGCTTTATGAGGCGGACTCCAGCACTGCCTTCTGGATTTGCTGATTCTGCTGTTATGGAGGGCCTCCTTACCATCTGAGCCGAAAGCTTTCGTTTTAAATTCCGGCCTCAGAGATTTTCCTCTCTGCTCGAACCTGCGCTGCCTCTGAGCACAGATGGGGCCACAAGTTAAGAACTCTCCTTTTCCAACATCCTCACTTCTTCCCTTCCTCTTTTCCAGCCGCTTGAGATGGACTAAGACTGGAATTGTGGTGCTAGATGAGTAAAGGTGACCTTTAACTAGTTCTTTGGGATTTCTACCACCTTTTTTCTAAAGAAAAGATTGATGAGTTTTGTATAGCTGATCAGATTTGAATAATGCCGATTCCACTGTTAAGCAATTATAATGGATGCTTAAACATTTGGTACTAAATTATGTTGTTTCCACGTAATTAAAATTAAAGTCTAGAGGGGGGAAAACACCCAAATACCAAGATGACAATATAAACCCTAACTGATCAGTAATTACTTTAAATGCAAATAGTCTAAATACTACAATTGAAGACAGAGATTAGAAGAGTAGATTTTTAAAAAATGACCCAAGTACACGCAGTGTACAAGAAATGCATATCAGGGATGCCTGGGTGGCTCAGTCAGTCAAGCGTCTGACTCTTGATTTTGCCTCAGGTTATGATCCCAGGGTCGTGGGACCGAGCTGGGCCTGGAGCCTGTATAAGATTCTCTCTCTCTCTCCCTATCTCCCTCTGCCCCTCTCCCCACTAGCATGTGCACTCTTTCTAAAATTAAAAAAAGAAAGAAAGAAATGTATGTCAGTCCTAAGGAAGGTAGATTGAAAGTTAAAGATGGAAAAAGATATATCATGTTAACATTAATTTTTTTAAGTGGCTATATTCTTTTCAAGCACCTATGGAACATTTGCCAAGATGGATCCTAGGCCATAAAATGAACTTCAGTACTTTATTAAAAGGTTAAAATCATACAGAATATTTTGTCTGGCTATAAGGAATCAAATTAGAAACCAATAATAGGCCACAGGAAAATCTTCAGTCATTTGGAAATTAGAGTACACATCTTAATAGTCCATGGTTGAAGAGGAAGTTATCACAGGAAAAATTAAAAATAAAATGAGGGGGTCTGGCTGGCTTGGTCAGTGGAGCATGCAACTCTTGATCTCAGGGTTGTAAGTTTCAGCCCCATGTTGGGTGTGGAGATTACTTAAAAATCTTGGGGCTCCTGGGTGGCTCAGTCAGTTAACGTCCCACTTCGGCTCAGGTCACGATCTCATGGTTTGAGCCCCACATTGGGCTCGCTGCCATCAGCACAGAACCCGCTTCAAATCCTCTGTCCCCCACCCACTCTTCCCCTCCCCTTCTCGCACTCTCTCTAAAAATAAACATTTAGGTGGGGCGCCTGGGTGGCGCAGTCGGTTAAGCGTCCGACTTCAGCCAGGTCACGATCTCGCGGTCCGTGAGTTCGAGCCCCGCGTCGGGCTCTGGGCTGATGGCTCAGAGCCTGGAGCCTGTTTCCGATTCTGTGTCTCCCTCTCTCTCTCTGCCCCTCGCCCGTTCATGCTCTGTCTCTCTCTGTCCCAAAAATAAATAAAAAACGTTGAAAAAAAAATTAAAAAAAATAAAATAAAATAAACATTTAGGAAAAAATTTTTTAAAAACAAATAGAATGAACTTTGTGATGAGCACAGGGTGTTGTATGGAAATGTTTAATTGTACACCTGCAACTAATATTACTCGGTATGTTAACAAACTAGAACTAAAATAAAAACTTAAAGGGCACCTGGGTGGCTCAGCTGGTTAGACATCTGACTCTTGATTTCATCTCAGGTCATAATCTCATGGTTTATGAGTTCTAGCCCCACGTCGGTTCCACACTGATAGTGCAGAGCCTGCTTGAGATTCTTCCCCACCGCCCGCCCTCCCTGCCCCCCCCCCCTCCACCTCCTGGCCTCTCTCTCCCTGCCCCAAATAAATAAATGTTAAATAAATAAAAATTTAAATTAAAAATAAAATGAACTGAATAAAAATGAACATAGAACATCTCAAAATCTGTAGAATGCAGCTGTAGCAGTGCTGGGAGGGATATTTATAGCCCTATGTGCTTACCTTAGAAAAAAGATCTCAAATCAATAACCTAAGTTACCACATCAAGAAACTAGAAAAGGAAGAACAAATAAATCCGAAGCAAGCAGAAATCAGTGAAATTGTAAACAAGAAAACAACAAAGGAAATTTATTAAGCCAAAAGCTGGTTCTTAAAAAATACCAATACAATTGGTAAATCTTCAACAAAATTGACAAAGATAAAAAGAGGACACAAACCACTAACCTCAGGAATAGGGGACATCACTATGGCAATTAAAAGGATAACAAGTGAGCACTGGAAGCACCTTTACACTCCCAATTCAACAGCTCAGAGGAAATTCCTTGAAAACCACAAATTACCAAAACTCAACCAAGATGAAATAGATAACCTGAATAACCATTAATAAAATTGGATTCTTAATTAAAAAGTTGCTGAGGGATTCACTGTAGGGGTTCATCCTACATTTAAAGAATAATTAACACCAATTTTGCACATTCTCTTCCAGAAAATACAAGAGGAGGCAATATTTCTGATTCATTTTATGAGGTCTGTATTTATCTGATACCAAAACCAAACAAAGACAGTATACAACAAACTACAGACCAGTATCTCTCATGAATGTAGATGCAAAATATTAACATGTCCAGCAATATATAAAATTACCTATACACAACACCAGTGGAATTTATTCCAGATCTACATGGCTAGTCCTGTAATCAAAAACCAATCAAGGTTATCCATATCAACAGTCTGAAGAAGAAAATTCATATAAGTGCAGAAATGCATTCAACAAAACTCATCACCCATTTATGAAAAAACACTCATCAAAGATAAGAGGGAGAACTTTCTCAACTTGATCAACTTCCTCACCTACAGAAAACCTAACCGTAACATCATACTTAGTAGTGAAATACTGAGTGCTTTCCCTGTTAAGACTAGGAGCAGGGCGGGGCGCCTGGGTGGCGCAGTCGGTTAAGCGTCCGACTTCAGCTCAGGTCACGATCTCGCGGTCCGTGAGTTCGAGCCCCGAGTCGGGCTCTGGGCTGATGGCTCGGAGCCTGGAGCCTGTTTCCGATTCTGTGTCTCCCTCTCTCTCTGCCCCTCCCCCGTTCATGCTCTGTCTCTCTCTGTCCCAAAAATAAATTTAAAAAAAAAAAAAAAAAAGACTAGGAGCAGGGCAAGGATGCCTGCTCTCATCACTCCTACTTAACCCAATACTGGAAGTTCTGTTTAGCACAATAAAGTAAAAGGAAATAAAAGGGCATATAGATTAGAAAGGAAGAAAGAAATCTGGCTCTCTTTGCAGATGACATGATTGTCTATATAGAAAATTCCGAGGAATCTACCAAGGAAAAAAAAAAAACCTTCCTGGAACTAATAAGTAATTTCAGCAAAGTCACAGGATGGAGTTCACTGCATGTCCATACACTAACAGTGACACTATTTTAATAAAAGTCCTGTACACAAATGTTTGTAACTGTAGCAGGCGAATGGTGAAACTGTGGTTAGAGCTGTACCATGGAATATCTGGCATATCATCAGCAGTCAAAAGGAACTAACTACTGATGCATACAACAACACCAGTTGTTGTAACATCTCAAAAGCATTATGCTGGGTGAAAGAAGCCGGACAGAAAAGGTAACATACTGTATGATCCATTTACATAATAGTCTTGAAATAATATTATAGGGATGGAGAGCAGATTAGTGGTTGCCAGAGATTTAGGGATTAGGAAAGGAAGGAAGGGAGGGTGGGGTGGCTATAAAAGGGTAACAGGAGGGAGCCTGTGTTAATGGAACATTGATCTGTCCTGATTGCTAGTAGTGGTTACATAAAGCTCCACATGCGACAATTGCATGGCACCGCATATGTGCGCACGTGCACACGCACACACTCTCACACAAATGAGTGCTGCATGTAGAACTGGAAACATCTGAGCAAGCTCTATGGGTTGTACCAGTATCAGTTTCCTGGTTTTGATAGAGTAATGTGCTAATGCAGGGTGTCAGCGCTGGGAGAAGCTGGAGGAAGTGTACACAGGACCTCCCTGTACATTTCTTTGCAACTTTTAATCAATGTAATTTCTTCAAAATGATGTTTTAAAATGTTTAAAATAAAGCCTCCTGCCCTCTTAATTCTGTGCCCCATTCCCCCTTCCCCAAATTAAGGTGTTTTTAGAATGCATGCACAAGTGTATTTGCATTAGAAATCTATTTTGCCCCCTTCCTTTCTCTAGACAGATGGTTTCATGTTGCCTTCCTATTCTGCACCTTCCTTTTTTCTTCACTTAATAGAGATGATTCCGTATCGGTCATGCTTTATGTTTTCAGATGCTGAGATTATCTGATACTTTGCCGTGATGCTTTGACCACTTTTCTATTAACAGACTTTGGCTGTTTCCATTTTGTGCTGTTAGGAACAATGCTCTGATGAAAGGCCTTATACATTTGCCATTTTGCTGCTGTGTGAATATATCTCTAAGATAAATTTCTGGAAATTGAATTTCTCGATTAGAATTTACAGTACAGTTTTCAGAGACACTGGTAGATTGCCCTGCATAGGAACTGTACCATTCCACACGTTCACCAGCCCCAGGTATCCTCATATTATCCCCATTGGCTGTTTTCACATTTTAGGACTTTTGACAATATGTTAGGTTAAAAATGGCATCTCAGTGTGGTTTTAATTTTCATTTCTCTGAAAAATTGGGCATCTTTTATTTTCAATTTGTATTTCAGTTTGTATTTCTTTTTCTGTAAACTGTGTTCATATCCTTTGGGCCATTTTTCCAGTGGGTTATTGGCTTTTGTAGAAGTTAGCGATTTGTAGGAGTATTTTATATATAATAAGCTCATTGTCTTTGATGTGAGGTTCAAAATTTTTTTCCTGTTTATCATTTGCCTTTTGGCTTTTCTTCTTTTCTTTCTTTCTTTTTTGTGGTCGTTGAAGTTTTTGAAACTTTTTCCTTAGACTGATCTTCTTTGGCTTCTGGATTTTGTGCCAGTTAGAAAGGTCTTTCCCACACCCAGATTATAAATTTCATGGTATTTTAATGCTTTCAGGTGTAGCCCTATTGAAATCTGGAATTACGTCCCCACAGCGGTACTGCTGGGCATATAGCCTTAGGTGGTAGACTATTTCTGGCCTTGGGTCTGATTTCATGGGTCTCCTCGGCCTTATTGGAAATCTGGGTCACTGCTAGAACCAGATCAAGTTAATCTCACATCCTCCATAAAGTGGTGCTTTACAGGGAAAGGAAATAAGGGGAGGACATTGGGTGATCTTCTGGCTCTTATCCCATCTTTCAGCAACCTTTATTCCAAGAGATAAACTCTAGTAGAAGAGGGTTTTGTCCCCTGTGTGCTCCGGGAGTTAGTGGTTGGGTGACAGAGCCCCTTTGCTGGTCTCCAGGGAAGGGAAACCAAACTTCAAGGGCCATTTCCTTCCATTGGTCGTCTGTGCAAATCCCACTTAGGTTGCTTCTCCACAGGGACAGGCTGCCTGAATCTGTGGAATCTGAAACGGTCCTGACACAATGAGAGGAACTCGGGAGTCTTATCCACATTTCAGAGCACAGCCCTGTGGATTTTGTTCAGATTGAAGTGCTAGTCAGTGTCTGTCTCCACTAAGACTTGCATTTTCGAAATGGGTATGAAAAACATTTGCTTAGCATAACTGTTCCCCCTCTTAGGAATAAGTAAGCCTGAAGAAGGACGGCCTGCTGGGAGTGTGACCGGAAATGACATCACTGCCCCTCCAAACAAGGAGCTCCCACCAAGCCCAGAGAAGAAAACAAAGGTAGGTGCCGCAATGCTGGGTTCTCTTCTACCAATATCATTTTTTAAAACCGTACCTTCTGCTACTGTTGCTTGGATTGTGAATGGAATTTCTTTTTTCTGAGCTATTAGTAGGTCCTTCCCCAGTTTTGGACCTTCTTAGAAAATATTTTATGTTCCTATTTTACCATAGTAGCCTAACTCAACCCTTAAAATCTCTTCCCTTGACCCCATTATCTTGAATATGTGTAGAAATATTCTGTAGAGGGTGTTTCTGCTTCCCTTAACAACAACAATAAAGGGGTTTGCAAAACTATTTGGAAATAAATTCTGCAATCTGCATTCATGAAAAGGGAAAACAGATTTTTAAGGTGGATCAAGGCTTCACACACTTACTGGTACTTACTGCAGAGTAGAAATGCCACACTTCAGTGTGGTCCTAAAACGATGCTGATGTTGCCTCATCAAGGTACAAATAATAACAGCTTAATCACCTGCTGGTGGCTTTTCTTCCTAAAACTATTATAGCAGCCACCAAAAGCTAATTGTTTAAAGCTGTCACTGAATTTAAGTCTTCAGGTGCCAAACTGCTAGAATTTGTGAAACAGTAAGAATGAATTCCCGGTTTTCTTTCTCTCATGGTTTCTTTCCACTATTAACCAAGCTCAGAATAACGGAATGCTGCTTTTCAGTTGCATAGATCCTCATTGCTTATAATTTTACTTTGAATTGTGCAATTTATACTTTTTTTTTTAATTTGTTTTTATTTTTGTTTGTGTGTTTGATGTTGACCTTTAAAAAAAAAAAAAAACACCACCAACAAATCAACTTAAAGCCTTTGGCCACCACTCAACCTGCAAAGACTTCAACATCGAAAGCCAAAACTCAGCCCACTCCTCTCCCCAAGCAGCCGGCTCCCGCCACCTTTGGTGGGTCGAATAAAAAACCCATGAGCCTCGCTGCGGGCTTAGTGCCGGCTGCCCCGCCCAAACGCCCTGCCGCCACCACTGCCAGGCCTTCCACCTTACCTTCAAAAGACGCAAAACCTAAGGTAAGTGGCCACCTAAGCACTCTGCCAGGGAAAAGTTCTCCCCTTTGAGTGTCCGATCGGCTCTCATTGCTCCCAGACAGCGGAATCAAGCTGCTGGAATTGGGGGAAGTGGGGAAAGGCGACTTGAAAATCATTTGGGGCCCAGGATGCAGCCATAACATCTGAAGGCCTTTCAGACCTTGTACCTTTCCCTGCCCCTGCCTGGAGGCAATACTGCATCTGCTTGGGTTTCTTTTCCTTTCTCCCAGCCCCTCCTGCTCTTCACGGTTTGAACACTTGTTAGCCAGTTTGCCCCACTCCACACCCCGTTAGATTAACCCCTTTTTGGTAGAATTCTCCCATCGAATTCCTAAAATTTGGTTTTTGTCTTTCTCTTTAATCCTCCTACAGAAGTGATTTTTACCCATTACTTTTTTGGATAAAGCTCTTCTGACTGATCTCTGTAGGTTCCAACATCATGTGACAACTTCCTTTGCTTTTGACATTGGGCCCCCTCTCTCCCTCTGCAGTTTTCCAGTTTTTCAGGTCACCCACATTATTGCCTAGAAATCAGTCAATTTGGGCAGCAGTGGCTTCACAGGATTGTCCTAGAAGGGCAGATTGCGTCTGTGGCTTTCTTCCTTAACATTTTGTTTTATTTGAGAAGGGCCTTTAGGTCAGCTTGGTGTTATTCTTTAAATTCATGGTGGGAAATAGTTTCCCATGTTAAAATGGTAGTGTATCAATCTAATCTTGTAAAGAAAATTGGTGGAACCTAGGAATTGTAGAATAGGCTGGAACCTTGGCCAAGAAATTGCTATGGCCAAGAATTTCTATGAGAAATCCTATCATAGATTAAGAATGATAAAATCTCATGAAGCTTTCTGACCCTGATTTACCCAGTTGACTGCTTTTCTTAACTGTTAGAAGACAATTTATTTGCATAGGCAGAGGGAAAGGCACCTGGGTGGCTCAGTTGGTTAAGTGTCTGACTTCGGCTCAGGTCATGATCTCCCGGTTCATGAGTGAGTTCAGGCCCCACATCAGGCTCACTGCTGTCAGTGCAGAGCCTGCTTCAGATACTCTGTCCCCCTCTCTCTGCCCTTCCCCCACTGCGCTCTCTCAAAAATAAACATTAGGGGCGCTTGGGTGGCTTAGTCGGTTAAGCGTCCGGTTCTTGATTTTGGCTCAGATCAT